ATATTTATATTAGATAGTGAGACTAGGAATAGGATTAGGGTATACATGTTACACCCCAAAATTTTAAATACACGAACACTTGTCTCATATTAAAATTTGACATGATTTTCTTTACATAATCACAACTTTGCAAAATAAATAATTAAAGAAGTATATGTGAATCTTCCTCTAATTTATTAAATTGGTACAACCATAATAACATTCAACAGCGTTAAAAATTAATCCATGATAATTGGACAAACTAAATTAAATCTGAAAAAAATAATAATAATAATAACATCATTGGTATGACAATGATCCCAAGAAGGAAAAAAATGAACTAAACAAAAAAATACGAAAAGCTAACTAAAATCCATCGCCATCATGTGATCCCATCACGTTCCTACTCAACGTGTACTTGAAATGTAATAATAGCTCACAAGCTCAACAAACAAATGTTAAACACAATCATCGTTCAGCAAGCTAGCCTTACTTTGTATTCCTATATGTATAAGCAACTCATATAAGTGTAATAATCAAATATGCATAACACCAGTTAATTATAAACTCAATAACCATCATTTAATTTTTATTAAGTCCACATATCTCACATGAGTTCCGGGCTCCCCTTTAATAAAGTGGTGTGAATCGTATAGTCTTGAACTACCGAAAACGCACGTGTAGTTGGGTTGTACATCTACTCCCCAGATGATGCATAACTACATCCACACAATAAGGGCACACTTAGCCCATGATCATAATAAAAGGGTAGTGCACTCCCAAATAGACAGGTCCAGGACCGTACTCAAAAGTTATCATAGGGTCAGCTTCGAACTATCCCTCCAACTAATCCAAACTCATTCCTTAATATAATTATGTTGAATTATGGAAGACATAAATTTTATCACTTAAATTAATGATTAAAACATCAGAATACACTTTTAATTTAAAAACAGAACACTAAGGAACCAACCAGTGAGAGTACAAAATTTCTGGACATAGCCTAATATTAGATATGAGTCCCTGCAAAATTTCAGAATCTAGCTCTTAATATTTTTTCTGTACTCTCCATCTTAGTGCAAAAAATAATACTTTTTCGAGTTTTAATTTGGTAAAACTACCGAAATATTATTTAAAATTCTAGATTTCATCAAAACTAAGTTCATTTTACAAAAACATAATATTCTGAAATTTTCAATAATTTTTGGAATACTAAAAATATTTTTCCTTATTATTTTAATTTAAAATAATAGTTAAATGTATTATTTGATTTCGGTTGAACCTGGGTGTGGGCCCAACAGATTGGGCTCGACGAGTGGATCACAATGGTAAATTTGATAACCAAGCCGATGTCCCAAGCCAACACACTCTTTCTCACTCTCTAATGTCGAGATTGGATTTTGTACATAAGGCCCAAGTGGGTTTCCTGCACCAATTCCTGCATTTTAATTCAAAGTTTTATCTCAATGATCTACTTTGACACAAGCTGTCACCATTGGCTTTAATTCGGATCAACAATACATTCAGGGTATCATTTACATAGACCTACAAGGATTTTACATATGCAATTAAATATATAAATCCAAAGCTTATATATACACATATATATATATATATATATTACACGTAAAAGTTCTCTAATCTAAGCATTCAACATACTTCATGAATCACTTGCAACAAACAAATCATAACAGTAAGTTAGCATTAGTAATCATTAGATGAAAACAATATATTGCAGCATGTAACTTTAAAGTCAATTTATACTAATACAATCACAACATAGCCAATCATTACAACTTTAAGAGGACCAATAATCAAAATTTATATAACTAATTTTTTTCTAATCTTTAATAATAAATAATTCTTTTAATCATGCACAACTAAATTCAAAACAACAACTTACACAACATATACTATTCTAATCCTAACTATAGTTAAGAATAAATTTTCTACAGTTTATTTAAACAACTCCAATTAGTTGTATTTTTTTTTTATTTTTTTAAAGATTCATCATAATCAATTGACTAACATATTTTTGAAAAGTTGGAACTGGATTTTCAGATTATAAAATTATATAAAAACAAAAACACTTTCAAATTATACATATTAACTTTATATCCGATTTAAAATAAGAGCTATAATACCATGGTGAAACACAAATACTTAAAAAGTACACAAATATACTAAAAAGAACTGGAATTACAAGATTGTTAAAACACAGAAAGAGAAAAAGAAAATTTGTTATGTCACTCATATTCAAAATCATGATAAGATAACGGATAAATAAAATTGAAAAGAATAAAAAATAAATAATAGAACAAACTCGTAAAAAAATAAGAATAATTGCAAACACATGCATCAAATACATTCCATCGTTTCTGAAAATAATTTTACCTCTCAAAGTGGCCCATTGAGACAAATTATGTGATGTGTGTGTCAATTTCTTGCTCATAAAACTATATATATATATATATATATATATTTAAATTCCATTTTTACATGCATTTAATTGAAAAATTATTGTTTGTTTGCAAATGATGATCAAATTATCGCTTAGTAGTGTGATAAACTGTACTTTTAAAATGATCCAAATAAGATTAAACACAGTTGAATTTGTCTTTAATATTTTAATTGTTCACAATAGTAAAGAGTCTTTAAAAAAAAAATTAAACTTTATTATGCCATTGTAGTGATAACATGATATCATTAATCTTATGTAGGACCCAATGAATTATGTTAGGTTAATTAATTTAATTAATAAAAATAATATATATATATATATATATATATATATTAATAATATTATAATAATAATAATTAAAGATATGCAAAGTTGCCTTTAAATAGCAATGCTAACGCAAGCCATGAATTAGCAGAGCACTAGTTTTAAAATGATTAAATGATAACGCCTCCCCCAAATCAAAACCACTTAATTGCTGTTCTTATTAATTAATGCAAATGTGAAAGGTTACGTCTAGTCTTCCACGCTTATTGACCACAGAAAAGGGTACAATTTATATAAAAACTTGTATCTATCTCATTAACAACATATCATAATGAAGGACATGCAAGTTGTCTTTAAAAAAACAAAATATTCATTGAATGCGAGCCAACCCATTAATAGTTTTAAAAAGAAAAAATATAAAGTGTTTAGTCAAGAAATACACATTTATATATTCTTTTTACTCTTATAGACTTGAATTTAATTTTTTATTTTGGAGAAATAAAAAGATACCACTAGACTGCATCTAAACCATTGGTAAAAATATTTTTATTATTGTTCTTATTAAAAAATTTCAATATGAAAGGTTCTCAAAATAATGTATATATATATATATATATATATATATATATATATATATATTAATATTTTTTGTTGAAACTACTCATACAGATAGTTCACCGTACTTCAGAGTGTGACGATATGAAAGGTGTGAAATTATATAAAAACTTATACTCAATAATATAATCAATGCATCCACCTAGCAGGAGTCTAGACTAGCAATATTTTTAAAATGAAGAAATACTAATGCCTCCGCCAAATGAAGCCACTATACTAATGTCCAAGTGGTTTATTTCAATTTATAGTTCAAGTTGCCCGAACCGAGCGTATAAAATAATCAAATGAGTCGGCCAATTTTGACCACTTTAGTATTATTTTTTATTTAATGGAAATATGAAATAAAACATTTTCTAGGTGTGGCTATAAGAAATTAGTTATGCAATTATGAAGGGATTAATTTATTTTATTTTATTTTATATTTTTGTTACTTTCTCTAAACAACCTAGTTTTTCCGCTTTTTTTATTCATTCCCTTTTTTTATCTCTTCTAATTTTTTTTCTAATCTTTATTGGTTACAACTAATTTGCGTCTCTCAATCTCTCTTCATCTGCAATCTATCTCACTTTCTGATCTAGTTCACACGCACTATATTTTCCTGTTTCGTAAAACGTTGCTAGCTTCGTCCGAACAAATCCACGAGCAATAGAGGTACGCCTTAAAATCTCTTCTTTAAGCTCTCGTTGTGTCATTTGTTGCCTAAAATCTTGTGTACTTCTGTTCCCCTTGTCATGTGTTTTCTAAAATCTGTTTTTAATTTGAATCTCTTGTGAGTCACTTTTCTTTATCTCTCTCTCACTTTCTAGTCACTCTGTATCTGAGACACCTTACTAGCTCCATCTAGACATATCCATAAGCTAGAGGTACGTTCAATTCACTGCTTTAGTTTCTTCAACAACACAGTGTTAGCTCTCTGCATATATTTGCATTTAATCTTTCTCCTACTAGACTTCTTTTTTGATTGTGAATTTTCAGTTTTTGTTGTCTTTCTCTTTCACTCGTTTGTCTAGTTTGTGAATATTCTTTTGTATTCCATCATCTTGTTTGTTTAAAAAAAAAAAAAAAAAAAACAGCAGCTAGCTAGTGAGTTGAAAATGAGTCGTGTTATAGATGCTATTGTGGGAAAAATATTAGATCCAATATTTAACTATTTGTTCGCATCAATTGGGCGTCAAATTGGTTATTTGGTTAAATACAAAGAAAATATTGAGAGTTTGGAAAAAGAAGTGAATGATCTTAAAGGTGTGAGGGACAGAGTCCAAGCAGCTGTGAACAGAGCCAGGGACAATGGGATGACCATTGAGAAGGATGCTGAGAAGTGGCTGGATGAAGTGCAGCAGTCGCTGACGGCTATGGAAGAAGAAGTGAACAAATCATCGCAAGACAGAACAAATCTCAAATGTCTTGATGTACGTTCACGGTATAGGATTCCTAAGAAAGGGAAAAAGATGGCCATGGATGCCATCAAACTAAAAGAGAAACACAGTAAGTTTGGCGACGAAGTTGCACACCCTACTCCTCTCAAAGATATTTAGTACACATCCAACACAAGTTATGTGCATTTTGATACCAGAAAATCAGTTTTCGAGGATATGTGGAATGGCAGGTGTAGGAAAGACAACAATGGTGGAGGAAGTCGGGAAACAAGTTGGAAAAGGTCCTTTTGATGAGGTCGCGCGCAATGGCAGTTTTCTCCCAAAATCCAGATCTGAAAAAAATTCAAGGAAAACTTGCAGATTGTTTAAATCTGACTCTAGATAGAGAGAGTGAAGAAGGGAGAGCCGGTCAACTATACAATAGATTGAAGAATGGGAAAAAAATCCTTGTAATATTGGATGACATTTGGGATGACAAGATTACATTGAAGAAAATAGGAATTCCAGCAAATACAGATGATAATAGCATGTGTTGCAAAATTTTGCTGACCTCTCGAAGACTAGAAGTGTGCAAAAAGATGGGGTTTCAAAAAACCTTCCAAATTGGACTCCTATCAGTAGATGAAGCTTGGCATCTATTCAAGAGAACGGTTGGAGATTTTATTGAAGCTGATCCTCAAATTCATTCCATAGCACAACAGGTGTGCAGAGAATGTGATCATTTGCCATTGGCAATTTGTGCAGTTGGAGGAGCACTGAACGGTTTGGATGATAAGCATATATGGAATGACGCACTTGAACAACTGAAAAATTGTCAGGGATATAAAATTGATGGAGTGGAAGAAAAGGTGTATACATGCATTGAGTGGAGCTACAAGTATCTGAAGCAGGCTGATGCGCAGTCATGCTTTCTGCATTGCTCTTTGTTTCCTGAAGATTCTGAGATTGCTATTGACCTTTTGGTGCATTTTGGAGTAGGAACTAAGTTTCTTGGAAGCACAGATCGAGCATCAATGAAAAAAGCAAGAAATAGAACACTTGTGATAGTTGGTATCCTCAAGAAATCTAATTTGTTGTTAGAAGGTAGAGATGGAAATAAGGTCAAAATGCATGATGTAGTTAGAGATGTTGCCATATCAATTGCATCAAAAGATAAGGATGCGTTTCCAGTGCAAGAGGGTGTTGATGTTTGGCCGGATAAAGATGATTATACATGTTGCAAAGCAATCTCACTAAGGGCTTCCTGCAATGTTCGTCGGCTTCCCGATCGGTTAGAATGTCCAGAACTACGCACCTTAGTATTGGGATCATCCGATGCTTCACGACTAGAACTCCAAAATAGCTTTTTTGACGGGATGAAAAAACTTGAAGTTTTGGTTTTGAACAAGGTGAAACTAGCACCATCATCACTTTCACATCTGGTTGGTCTCCGGATGTTGTGTCTAAGTGATTGTGAATTGGTGAACCTATTTTTCATCAAGGAATTGAAAAACCTTGAGATACTAGTCATTGGTTATATTCATGAATTCAAAGAGATGGTTCTGGAAATAAGACAGTTGACTTGCCTACGGTTGTTGGATTTAAAAGAATTTAACGAAGATATAGGATTTCCGTCAGGTTTCCTATCTTGTCTATCCGACCTGGAGGAATTGTACATTTCGAAGAAATATAATGGATGGAAGCTTGAAGGCAATGCAAGCATTGTTGAGATAAATTGTTTGATGGGCTTGATGGTATTCCTTTGATGGATGGGCTTGATGTTTTGATTGCGAGCGCTGAAGTACTAGATTTGTATTATGTGGAAGGTTTAAAGAAGGTGCTTCACGACAGAGACGGAGAGTGGTTTCTAGATTTGAAGTATCTTTACGTTAGTGTATGTAAGGATATGGAACATCTACTTGGCAAACCCAAATGGAGTTCAAAAACTCATGGACCATCTCCATTGGGCTCTTTTGGTAACTTGAGAGTATTACAAGTTGACTGTAGCTCAATGAAGTATCTGTTCTCCGCATCCACTGCAAGATGTCTTCCAAAACTGCATAAACTAGAAGTTATAGAATGTGAGGCACTGGAAGAAATAATTGGAGGTGATGAGGAATTTACGGATAAAGTTACTTTTCATCAGCTAAAAGAAATGGAGCTATTAAATCTACCAAATCTCAGAAGCATTTACGCCAATACGAAGAAGAAGACATCAATTACAGAGTGCAGCATGCCTTCCACTGTTAAACAACCTCTCTTCAATGAAAAGGTATATTATATATTTTCTGGAAATTGTTTGTTGACCCACTAATTTGCCAAAGATCTTGCAAAGCAAAATTAAAAACAAAGATGGGTTAACAATTTTGATACAAAAGAAGGTAAAACCAAAATTAAGGAAAAATTATTAAGATTGTAGAGTTTAGAACTATATACATACACGTATATTTATATATTAGTTGTTATTCTGATGGGGCTTTACTTTATTGGGTGTTATCAATTTCTGCTTAAATAAAACTCATGGGTCCAATGATATAAATCTAGATAAATAAAAAAATAAAAAAACATACCTTTCATCTCTGAAAGTTTATTTGAGATTAAATACTATAAAAACACGGTTTTAATAACCAAATACAATGCATCCAAATAATCATGTATAATATCGAAACAATGCATTCCTATCACATACAGTAAAAAATTTTCCTACGCATTTAGACAAGTTTATTAACTAAAAAATTCTTTGAAAAAATAAAATAATAATCATGTCATCCCGCATGTAATAAGGTTAATTAAAAATTTAATTCCATTACTGTTGTTCTTTTCTTTTTCTTTTACGTGAGTAAAAAAATTGTGTTGTTAATTTTATTATGCATTCCTGATGTTGCAATTCAAAATTGGCTCTCGACTCTTGGGAGAACAAACAACCAAGTGCACCATCCCCGACTATTTTGTTGCTTCATTATGCTTTTCCTGTCCTCTAAATATAAACTATAATTTCACGGTTCTTGCATCAATTTTGTGCGATTTAAATTTTTTCCCCAACAAAATAGTTGTATATTAAAAAAAAATTATAATTTATTGGTCAGTGCAGTTAAGAGTAGAACTACTATGTAATATATATATATATATATATATATATTTTTTTTTAATGCTTGGACTATTTATAGTCACAAAGAGACATTTTCTATATTCTCTCTTTCTATTTAAGTTTAAATATTATACCTTGGGAAAATGCAATTTTTTTTATTATTAAGTGGACTAGTAGAGGTTAATAATGGGTCAACTTTTCAATGTATTGTGTTAGAAACTTACAATCTGGAATAAGTTAAGCTCATGTTTCACATGCGTGATGCATTTAATGTCACATTAGTCATTACATCAAATATAATTATAATGCACATATATATCTATATATATTTCTATATGTTTGTATATATATAGTGTATGGTGTATTATTTTGAAATTTAGATGGCAGATTGCGTCACATGATTTACGTACAAAATGTGTTTCTCATTTCCAATGAGAAAAAAGAGGAGGAGAGAGTCAAGTCAATAGTTGTGAATTGAATAGATAGTACATGTTGGCATCTGCCGGAGAGGAACAAGCATGCATTTAAGAGGAATTTGGTATGAGAGGAACAATCATGCATTTAACAGGAAGGTCAAACAGTTTTGAACTAGTCTATGTGATACTCTGTATATAAATTGGCTTTCTTTTGGAATATTCTTGGGGAAATATGGGGTCGATCTATTATTAGTTAAATGTAGGGCTCATTCCTATTGTTTATTTATAAGGAAATAGAAAAAATAAAATTAAAAATTATACAAAAATTGTTTCTTAGTTGTTCTATGGTTATTGATGATATATAAATAGTAGAGTATCTTCTTTTCATAAAGACTGTTTGGAATTGATGTTTTAAAAAATCTTATGCTTCGTTTGGTTGGAGGGATGAAAAAATGGATGGAAGAGATAGAGGGATGGATGGATGAGGAATCCCTAGGGAACGGAAGGTGTCTCCTCCATTTTTTGTTTGGTTAAATGGAATGGATAGGAGAAAGGATGGATGGGGTGATACTTTTTTTTGTTTGGTTGAATGGAAGGGAAAGAGATTTTTTATATTTTTTTTACCAATATATCCTCACTGTATAAAATAATAAAAAGTAGATATCCATTTGAATTTTTTTGAAAAGGTTAAAATTGAAAATTGCATATTGTTGGTAGTTATTCATTTTCTCTCTCCTCCCTTCCCCCCAAAATTGGGCGGATAGAAAAACATGAAGAAAGGAGGGATGAAGCATCCCTCCTTGCTTCCTCCCTCTCTTCCCATCCCTCCAACTAAACAAGAAAAGCCTAATCCATCTCTCCTCTCATCCATCCCTCCTCAATCCATCCTTTCAACCAAACATAGCATTAGTGTGGAGTGGGTTGGGAAAACTTACAAGGCAAACAATATATACATAATGTTTATTAGCTGACAAAATTTAATGTAAATGTGGATCACAGATTATGTTTCCTGTCTTGGAGAAATTGGTGATTGGAGGATTAAGTAGCATTAAAGCGATATGAGACAAGCAATTACTCCCAGTCCTGAAAGGTGGAAATTCCTTTCAGCATCTCCAACGGTTACAAGTAGGCCATTGTAAGGAGATGGAAGAGATTCTTGCACTTGAAGTTGTAAAGGAGAAGAAGAAGCAGAGGCAAATGACGAGATTCCCGTGTTCCCTCACTTAAAGAATATAAAACTTAAGGTCAGGCCAAACCTAAAAAGTTCCGAAGAAGAAACACAAGAATCCCGACTACAAGCCCTCGTTAACCACAAGGTACGTTATGTCCCAACTCTTAATTAAACATCCATACATGGGTACTGAAGATCTTTTTTTTTTCTTTTTTCTTTTTTTTCTTTTTTTTTTCCTGAATGTGGAGATTTTATAAATAAGAACGTACATTACAATAAGTTTAAAAGGGCATACCTTCTTTTACAAAACATGAGCTAGAATAAGCCCATTTCCAGTAGTCACCAAACAACATTAAAAACATTATAATGAAAAATTAGTTAACAAATCATGTAAACTAAAATTGAGATAAGCAGACACATCCCAAATGATGGATTGAACAACATACTCAGCCTCATCTTTGCATCCATTGTGGAGGGCTGAGTTTCTCATTAACCAAATCTTCCATATAGTAGCAGCGAAGAGAGCACACAAAATCATGGACTTAGTATTATGAATGTTAGTTTGCACCACAAACCAATCCACAATCTCACTAAGAGAGCTGACCCTCGGCCACTGCAAATTAATCAAAATGAACAACTTACTCCAAATTGCTTTGGCTTACACACAATTACAGAAAATGTGATCATTAGTGTCTTCATACCCAAAGCAGTTGTGGCAGATAGCTGTTAGGATAAATCCTCTCTTCTGAAGGTTAACCAGGGATAAATTCTTGTTATGCAAAATGATACTGACTCCCACTGAAACCCTTGGTTTGCAGCCTTTCCAATAGAGTTTGCTCCAATTAACTTTCTGTTTTTTAGCTCTACAAACATTCCATACAGACTTTAATGAAAAAACCCCATGCCTCCAAGAAATAGTATCAATACCAGCCCTCAAAGCAATTATATGAATAGCAGTTCGAACCTCAACAGCATAATGTAAAGGTATACACCAAATTCCATCTTCAATTAAAGCAGCCATTGTCTTTGCTCTATTAGTTTGCCTGAACATAGTAGCCCCAAATCTTTGAATCAAAGTTTGATTATCACACCAAGGATCTGTTAACAGTTTGAAAGACAAACCATTCCCAACCTTAAAATCAATATTATACAATAAAATCTATCTAGCTTCAAGAATTTGCTTCCAAATTGATGAGTCAACAGCCCTTGCAATCACATTCCAAAAAGAAGACCTTTTTAAATAATAGCATGAAACCATTGAATCCAAAGCTTGTCCTTTTTCTGCATAAAATCCCAACACAAAGTGATTTTTGCAGCATTTTTTTGGAGTGGCAAACAAGACTTGAAGAAAATTTCTCAAGTAAAATGGAGCTCTATTACTATCCTTGTGGATGAAGGGGGTTTTAACATCAAAAAAATCAAAGACATTGATTTTTGCAGCAAAATCAATGTCTTTGATTTTTTTGATGTTAAAACCCCCTTCTGTTGACCCTAAAATTGGCTAACTCAAGCCGATCTTAATTTGATGTAAACCGGGCGTGCCAGAACCAAATATTCGGTTCAAATATAAATTGTCAACTATAGTCCCTTTGAGAAGGTTGACTTTCAGACGATGCGAGGAAAAAGGGAACAATAAAATTCCTCTTTTGAGTTCAATAATGCTTTAGTTAAAAGGACTTTCCTAGTGAAAAATTATAGTAAAAGATTGAGAAAATAGAAAGGGGAGAAACATGGATATAGCAAGAAGAAAGAGAGAAATTGAGAGAAAGAAAGAGAGAAGGAGACGAGAATAAGAAGATAAGGATAAAGAGAAAGAAGAAATAGCAAGGATGCTATTTATAGAAAAGCTTGAGACAGCAAATAAATAATAATAATGATTCTGAGGGTGCTGGACCTCTTACAGTGAATACTTCTACAATTATTTATAGAAGTCATAAAGAGTCCTAAAATGAATAACTACGTAAAAAGATAGAATTAATTCCTAAACAAACTCTATTAGATAAGACATATCATATCCAAGGTGCCAACTCTTTTGAAGAGATTACATATTCTGATAAAATCCTTCTTGATGTCACTTCCCTGTAAATTCAT